TTGTTTTTTGGGGTTTTTTTTTGGGGGGGGGGGTTGGTGGGTGGGGGTGGGGTGGTTGTGTGGGTTGGGGGGGGGTTTTGGGTTGTTTGGTTGTGGGGGTGGGTGGGGTGGTTGTGGGGGGGTTGGGTGGGGGTGTGTGGGGGGGGGGTTTGGTGGGTGTGGTGGGGTGTGGGGGTGGGGGGTTGTTTTGGGGGGGGGGGGTTTGGTGGGGGGGGTTTGGGGGGGGGTTTGGGTGGTGTTTGGGGGGGGTGGTTGGTGGTGTGGGGGGGGGGGGGGGGGGGTGTTTGGGGGTGGGGGGGTTGGGGGGTGGGGTTGGGGTTGGTGGGGGGGGGGGGGGTGGTGGTGGGGGGGGTGGGGGGGTTGGGGGGGGGGTTGTGGGTGGGGGGTGGTTGTGGTGGGGGTGTGGTGGGTGGGTGTGGGGGGTGGGGGTTTGGGTTTGTGTGGGTTGGGTTTTTGGGTGTGTGTGTGGGGTGTGGTTTTGTGTTGGGTGGGGGGGGGGGGGGGGGTTTGTTTTTGTTGGGGGTGGGGTTTGGGTGTTGGGGTGTGTGTGGTGTGTTTGGTTTGGGGTGTTTGTTTGGGGTGGGGGGGGGGGGGGGGGGGTGGTTTGGTGGGGGGGTGGGTTTTTGGGGGGGTTGGGTGGGTTGTTGGGTTGTGGTGGGGTGGGGGGGGGGGGGGGGGGTGGGGGTGGTGGTGGGGTGTGGGGTGGGGGGGGGGGGGGGTGGGGGGTGGGGGTGGGGGGGGTGGGGGTGTGGGGGGGTTTTGGGTGGGTGGTGTGGTGTGTTGTGGTGGGGGTGGGGGGTTGGGGGGTTGGGGGGGGTGGGGGGGGTGTTTGGGGGTGGGTGTTGGGGGGGTGTTGTTGTGGGGGGGGTGTGGGGGTGGGGGGGTTGGGGGTTGGGGGGTTGGGTGTGTTTTGGTTGGGTGGGGGGGGGGGGGTTGGGGGTTGGGGGGGGTTTGTTGGGGTGTGGTGTGGGTGTGTTTGGTGGGTGGGGGGGGGGTGGGGGTGGGTTGTGGTTGGGTTGGGTTGGGTTTTTGTTAGTTGTGTAGGGTTGTGTTGGATGGGGGTTTAGGGATGGTGGTGGGTTTGGGTTTTGGGTGATAGTGTGGGGTGTGGGGTGTGGTTTGGGGGGGGGGGTGGGGGTGGGGGTGGGGTGTTGGGTGGTGGGTGTGGGGTTGGGGTGGGGGGGGGGGGGGTGGTGGTTGGTGTTGGTGGTTGTGGGGGGGGTGTTGGTGGGTGGGTGGGGGTTGGTGGGGGGGGGGTGTGGGGGGTGGGTGGTGGTTGTTGTTGGGTTTGGGGGTGGTGTGTGGGGGTTGGGGTGGTTTTTGTTGTGTGGGGGGTGTGGGTGGTGGGGGGGGTGGTTTGGTGTGTGTGGGTGGTGGTTTGGGGGGGGGGGGGGTTGTGGGGGGGTGGGTGGGGTGTGGGTTGGGGTGGGGGGTGTGTGTTTGGGGGGGGGGTGGGGGTGGGGGGGGGGGTGTGTGTGGTGGTGGTGTGTGGGGGGGGGGTGGGGGGGGGTTTGGTGGGGGGTGGTGTGGGTTTGTGTTGGGGGGGGGGGGGGGGGGTGGTTTTGTGGGTGGTTGTGTTTTTTTTTGGTGGGTGGTGTGGGGGGGTGGTGGGGTGTTGGGTTTGGGGTGTGTGGGGTGTGGGGGTGGTGTGGGGGGGTGTTGGTGGTGGTGGTGTGTTGTGGTTTGGGGGGGGGTGGGGGGGTTGGGTGTGGGGGGTTGGGGGGGGTGGGGGGGGGGGTTGTGGTTGTTGGGTGTGTTGGGGTGGGGGGGGTGTGGGTGGGGGTTGGGTTGGGTGGGGGTTGTTGGGTGGGGTGGGGGGGGGGTGTGTGTGGTGTTTGGGTTTGTTGATTTGTTGTTTGGGGTGTGGGTGGTTTGGGGTGTTGTGTGGTGTGGGTGGTGGTTGGGGGGGGGGGGGGGGGGTTTGTGGGGGGGGTTGGGTTGTTTGTTGGGGTTGGGGGTGGTGTGGTTTGGGGGGGGGGGTGGGGGGTGGGGGGGGTTGGGGTTGTGGGGGGTGGTGTTTTGGTGGGTGTGTTGGTAGGGGTTGAGGGGTGTGGGTGTTGGTTGGGGGGGTGGTGTTTGGGTGGTGGGGTGGTGGGGGGTGGGGGGGTTGTGTGGTGGGGGAGGTGGTGGTGGGGGGGTGGTGGGTGGTGGGGGTTGTGTGGGTGTGGGTGGGGGGGTGTGTGGGGGGTTGGTGGGGGGGTGTTTTTGTGGGTGGGGGGGGGGGGGGGGGGGGGGGGGTGGGGGTTGTTTGGGGTGGGTTGTGTGTGGGGGTTTGTGGGGGGGGTGGTGGGGGGGGGGGGGGGGGGTGGGGGGTGGGGGTTGGGTGTGGGGGTGGTTGGGTGGTTTTTGTGGGTGGGGTGGTGGGGGGGGTGGGGTGGGGGGGTGTGGGGGGTGGTTTGTGTTGTTTTTTGTTTGTTTGGGGGGGGGGGGGGGGGGGGGGGTGGGGGGGGGGGGGGTGGTTTGTTGGGGGGGTGTGTGTGTGTGTGGGAGGGGGGTGTGGGGGGGGGTTGGTGGGGGGTGGGGGGGGGGGGGGTGGGGGGGTGGGTGTTGGGGGTTGTGTGTGTGTTGGTGGGGGGGTTGGGGGGGGGTGGGGGGTGTGTTTGGGGTGGGGGGTGTGGGGGTGGGGGTGGGGGTGGTGTTTGATGGGTGGGGGGGGGGGTGGGGGGGGGGGGGGGGGGTTGGTGTTTGTTTGGGGGTGGGGGTGTGGGTTTTTGTTTTTGGTGGGTGGGGTTTTTTGTGTGGGGTGTGTTGGTGGTTTTGGGTTTGGGGTTTTTTTGTGTTGTGGGGGGTGGGTTTGGTGGGGGGGGTGGGTTTGTGGGGGGGGTGTTTGGGTGGGGGGGTTGGTGGGTGTGGGGGGTTGTTTTGGGGGGGTGGTTGGTTTTGTGGGTGTTGGGGTTTGGGTTTGGGTAGTGGGGTTGGTGGGGGGGGTGGGGTGGGGGGGGGTGGGTGGGGGTTGGTGGTGGTTGTTTTTGTGTTTGGGGTGTGGTGTTGTGTTTGGTGGGTGTGGTTTGTTTTTGTGGGGGTTGTGGGGTGGGGTTGTGGTTGGGGGTTGGTGGGGGGGGTGGGGGGGTTGGGGGGGTGGTGGGGGGTATTGGGTTTGGGGGGGTTTTTGTGGTTGGGGTGGGTTGGGTGGGGTGGGTGGTGTGGGTGGGGGGGTGGGGGGGGGGGGTGTGGTGGTTGGTTGTTGGTTGTTGGGGGTGGGGGGGGTGTTTTGTTGTGTTGGTGGTGTGGTTGGGTTGTTGTTTGGGTGGAGGTTGTTGTTGGTTTTTGTTGTGGTAGGGGTTTGTTTTAGTGGGGTTGGGTTGGTTTTGTGGTTGGGGTTGGTTGTGTTGTTGGTGGTGTTTGGTTGTGTGGTGGTGTTGTTTGGGTGGAGTTGTTTTGGGTTTGTTGTGGATTGGTGGTGTTGTGGATGGTGTTTATGAGGTTGGGTGTGTATGATGAGGATTTGTGAGGTTTTTGTTGTTGGGGGTGTTGTTGGGAAGGGGGAGTTATTTGTAGGGGGGAGGTTGAATTATTGTAGGGGGTGTGTTTGATGATGATGGTGGTTGTATGGTGTGGGTTGGTTAGGTGTTAGTTTGGTTGGGGTGTTGTTGTTGTTGGGGGTGTTTGTGGTGTTGTGGTTGTTGGGGGGGGGGGGGGGGGTGGGTTTGGGGTGGGGGGTGGTGGTGGTGGGTGTTGAGGTGGGGGTGGTGGGGGTTGAGTGTGGGGGGGGGGTGGGGGGTGGGTGGGTTGGGTTGGTGTGGGGGGGGGTTGTTTGGTGTGGTTGGGTGGTTGGGGGGTAGTGGTGGGTGGGTGTGTGTTGTAGGTTGGTTGGTTGGTGTGGGGTTTTTTTGTGGTTGGTGGGGGGTGGTGTGGGGAGGGTTGGGATGTGGGGATGGGGGGTATATGGTTTTTGTGGGGGGTTTTGGTATTGGGGTTGAGAGAGGAAGAGAGTGGGGAGAAGAGAGGGGAGAGAGAGAGGGAGAGATAGAGGAGTGAGAGGGGTGTGAGTGAGTGAGATGTGTGGAGAGTGTGGGATGAGTAGAGTGAGTGAGAGAGGAGAGAGAGGGAGTGTTAGTGGGGGTGTGAGAGGGTGAGATGGAGTGGATGGGGGTGTGAGAGTGGAAGAGATTTGGTGTGAGAGGGAGAGAGAAAGTGTGAGAGGGGTAGAAAAGATGAGGGGGAGAGGTGAGGTGAGATAGTGATGGGTGTGAGTGTGGAGTGAGAGGGGGGTAGTGAGAGTGGAGAAGAGGGATGAGTGTGGTGTGTGAGGTGATAGTGTGAGTGTGAGGAGTGTAGGGAGATGTGTGGTGAGTGTAGTGGGGAGTGTGATTGGGGGTTGTGTTGATGGGGGGAAGAGAGGTGTGATAGTGTGTGTGTGTGTGTGAGGTGTGGTGTGGGATAGGTGTTGGTATATTAGTTGTGAGGGTGTTTGGGTGGTGTGTGTTTTGGGGGTGGGAGATTGGGTGGTTGGGGTTGTGTTTGTGGGTGTTGTTTTGTGGTGTGGTGTTGGGTTATTGTTGGTGTTGTGTTTTGTGGGGTGGTTGGTTTTTGGTGGGGGGGGTGGGGGTGGGTTGGTGTGGGTGGTGGGGGTGGGTGGGGGTTGGTGGGGGGGTGTTGGGGGGTAGGGATGGGTGGGGTTTGGGGGGTGGGGGAGGTGGTGTGTGGGGGGGTAGGGTGGTTGGTGGTGGGGGGTAGGTGGGTGGGGGGGGGAATTGTTGGATGGGTGTGGTTATTATGGGGGGTTTTTGGTTTGTTTTGGGGGGTGTTATGGGGTTGGGTAGGGGGGGGGGGGGGGTTGGTATTGGGTTTGTGGGTGTTTGTGGGTTGGGGGGGGGGGGGGGTGTGTGGGGGGGGGGGGGTGTGGGGGGGGGGGGGGGGGTGGTGTGGTTTTTTTGATAGTTATATATTTATGTTTTTTTTGATTATTGATTGGAGTATATATGGGTTATATATATATTGATGGATATATTTTGTATATATAGGTAATTGGGGGGGGGTAAGGGGGGAATGGGGTATGAATGGAGGTGGGGTTGAATGTTTGTGTGGGGGTTGGGGTTTGGGGGGGGTGGTATTTAGTGTATTGTTTTGTATTTGAATGGGTTTGGTTGGGTGGGTGGGGGGGGGGGGGTTTGTTTGTGGGAGGGGGGAGTTTGGGGTTTGATGTGTTAAGGTGGGTGGTTGTTGTGGTTTGGGTTGGGGGGTTTTGGGTTTGGGGTTTGTGGTTGTTTGTGGGTTAGGTTTTGTGGGTTTGATGGTTTTTGGGGTGGGGGGGTTGGTGTTGTTTTTGTGTAGTGGGTGGTTTGTTTGGTGGGGTGTGGTTGGTGTGTGGGGGGGTGGGGGGGGTTTGTGGTTTGTTTTGGGGTTTGGTTTGAGGGGGGGTTTTTTTTGTTGGGTGGTGGGTTGGGTGTGTTTGTGGTTGGGTGTGGGGGGGGGGGGTTTTGGGTGGGGGGGGTGGGGGTTTGTTGGGGTGGGTGTGGAGGTGTGTTTTGTGTGGTGTGGGGTGGTTGTGGTTTGGGTTGGGGTGGGTGTTGGAGGTTGGTGGGGGTGGGGGTTGTGTGGGGTTGTTTTGTTGGGGGGTGGGGGGTGTTTGGGTAGGGGGGGTGGGTTGTGGGTGGTTTGTGTTTGTTGGTGTTGTGGGTGGGGTGTGTTTGTTTGTGGTGTGGGGGGGGTTGGGTGTGGGGGTGGGGGGGGGGGGTTGGGTGGGGGGGTTGGGTTTGAGTTGGAGTGGTGGGGGGTTTGGGGTTGTGGGTGTGGTGGGGTGGGGGGGGGGGGGGGTGTGTGGGGGGTGTGTTTGTTGTTGGTGGTGTTGTTGGGGTGTTTGGGGGGTGTTTTGGTTGGGGGGGGGTGGGGGGGTGGGGGGTGTTGTGGTGTTTTTTTTTGTTGATTGTTGTGGGGTGTGTGGGGGTTTTGTGGGTTTTTGGTGTTTTGGGTTGGGTGGGGTGGGGGGGTGGTGTGTGGGGGTTGTGGGGTGTTTTGTGGGGTTGGGGGTTTTGTGGGTTGGTGGGGGGTGTGGTGGTGGTGGGGTGTTGTGTTTTTAGGTGGTGGGGGGGGGGGTTGTGTGGGGGTGGGGTGTGTTGGGGTGTTTGGTGGGTTGGTGTGTGGGGGGGGTGTTGGGGTGGTGTGGGTATGAGGGGGTGGTGGGTGTGGGTGGTTGTTGGTGGTTGTTGTGGGGGGTTGGGGGGTATAGGGAGGTTTGGGGGTGGGGTTGTTGGGGTGTGTTGTTTTGTTTGGTGTGGGGGTTATTGGTGGTGGGGGGGGTGGGGGGTGGTTGGTTGTGTGTGGGTGTTGGGGGGGTGGGTGAGGGTTTTGGGGTGTGGGTGTTGAAGTGGGGGTGGGGGTTTGGGGTGGGTGTTGGGAGAGAGAGACCAGAGAGAGACCAGAGAGAGACCAGAGAGAGACCAGAGAGAGACCAGAGAGAGAGACCAGAGAGAGACCAGAGAGAGACCAGAGAGAGAGGACCAGAGAGAGACCAGAGAGAGACCAGAGAGAGACCAGAGAGAGACCAGAGAGAGACCAGAGAGAGACCAGAGAGAGAGACCAGAGAGAGACCAGAGAGAGACCAGAGAGAGACCAGAGAGAGACCAGAGAGAGACCAGAGAGAGACCAGAGAGAGAGACCAGAGAGAGACCAGAGAGAGACCAGAGAGAGACCAGAGAGAGACCAGAGAGAGAGACCAGAGAGAGACCAGAGAGAGACCAGAGAGAGACCAGAGAGAGACCAGAGAGAGACCAGAGAGAGACCAGAGAGAGACCAGAGAGAGACCAGAGAGAGACCAGAGAGAGAGACCAGAGAGAGACCAGAGAGAGAGACCAGAGAGAGAGACCAGAGAGAGAGACCAGAGAGAGACCAGAGAGAGACCAGAGAGAGAGACCAGAGAGAGACCAGAGAGAGAGACCAGAGAGAGACCAGAGAGAGACCAGAGAGAGACCAGAGAGAGAGACCAGAGAGAGACCAGAGAGAGACCAGAGAGAGAGACCAGCAGAGAGACCAGAGAGAGACCAGAGAGAGACCAGAGAGAGACCAGAGAGAGACCAGAGAGAGAGACCAGAGAGAGACCAGAGAGAGACCAGAGAGAGACCAGAGAGAGACCAGAGAGAGACCAGAGAGAGACCAGAGAGAGACCAGAGAGAGACCAGAGAGAGACCAGAGAGAGAGACCAGAGAGAGACCAGAGAGAGACCAGAGAGAGACCAGAGAGAGAGACCAGAGAGAGACCAGAGAGAGACCAGAGAGAGACCAGAGAGAGACCAGAGAGAGACCAGAGAGAGACCAGAGAGAGACCAGAGAGAGACCAGAGAGAGACCAGAGAGAGACCAGAGAGAGACCAGAGAGAGACCAGAGAGAGACCAGAGAGAGACCAGAGAGAGACCAGAGAGAGACCAGAGAGAGACCAGAGAGAGACCAGAGAGAGACCAGAGAGAGACCAGAGAGAGACCAGAGAGAGACCAGAGAGAGACCAGAGAGAGACCAGAGAGAGACCAGAGAGAGACCAGAGAGAGACCAGAGAGAGACCAGAGAGAGACCAGAGAGAGACCAGAGAGAGACCAGAGAGAGACCAGAGAGAGACCAGAGAGAGACCAGAGAGAGACCAGAGAGAGAGAGACCAGAGAGAGACCAGAGAGAGACCAGAGAGAGACCAGAGAGAGACCAGAGAGAGACCAGAGAGAGACCAGAGAGAGAGACCAGAGAGAGACCAGAGAGAGACCAGAGAGAGACCAGAGAGAGACCAGAGAGAGACCAGAGAGAGACCAGAGAGAGAGACCAGAGAGAGACCAGAGAGAGACCAGAGAGAGACCAGAGAGAGAGACCAGAGAGAGACCAGAGAGAGACCAGAGAGAGACCAGAGAGAGACCAGAGAGAGAGACCAGAGAGAGACCAGAGAGAGACCAGAGAGAGACCAGAGAGAGAGACCAGAGAGAGACCAGAGAGAGACCAGAGAGAGACCAGAGAGAGACCAGAGAGAGAGACCAGAGAGAGACCAGAGAGAGACCAGAGAGAGACCAGAGAGAGACCAGAGAGAGACCAGAGAGAGACCAGAGAGAGAGACCAGAGAGAGACCAGAGAGAGACCAGAGAGAGACCAGAGAGAGACCAGAGAGAGACCAGAGAGAGACCAGAGAGAGACCAGAGAGAGAGACCAGAGAGAGAGACCAGAGAGAGACCAGAGAGAGACCAGAGAGAGACCAGAGAGAGAGACCAGAGAGAGACCAGAGAGAGAGACCAGAGAGAGACCAGAGAGAGAGACCAGAGAGAGAGACCAGAGAGAGACCAGAGAGAGACCAGAGAGAGAGACCAGAGAGAGACCAGAGAGAGACCAGAGAGAGACCAGAGAGAGACCAGAGAGAGACCAGAGAGAGACCAGAGAGAGACCAGAGAGAGACCAGAGAGAGACCAGAGAGAGACCAGAGAGAGACCAGAGAGAGACCAGAGAGAGACCAGAGAGAGACCAGAGAGAGACCAGAGAGAGACCAGAGAGAGAGACCAGAGAGAGACCAGAGAGAGACCAGAGAGAGAGACCAGAGAGAGACCAGAGAGAGACCAGAGAGAGACCAGAGAGAGACCAGAGAGAGACCAGAGAGAGAGACCAGAGAGAGACCAGAGAGAGACCAGAGAGAGACCAGAGAGACCAGAGAGAGACCAGAGAGAGAGAGACCAGAGAGAGACCAGAGAGAGACCAGAGAGAGACCAGAGAGAGACCAGAGAGAGAGAGAGACCAGAGAGAGACCAGAGAGAGACCAGAGAGAGACCAGAGAGAGACCAGAGAGAGACCAGAGAGAGACCAGAGAGAGACCAGAGAGAGAGACCAGAGAGAGACCAGAGAGAGACCAGAGAGAGACCAGAGAGAGACCAGAGAGAGACCAGAGAGAGACCAGAGAGAGACCAGAGAGAGACCAGAGAGAGACCAGAGAGAGACCAGAGAGAGACCAGAGAGAGACCAGAGAGAGACCAGAGAGAGACCAGAGAGAGAGACCAGAGAGAGACCAGAGAGAGACCAGAGAGAGACCAGAGAGAGACCAGAGAGAGACCAGAGAGAGAGACCAGAGAGAGACCAGAGAGAGAGACCAGAGAGAGACCAGAGAGAGACCAGAGAGAGACCAGAGAGAGACCAGAGAGAGACCAGAGAGAGACCAGAGAGAGACCAGAGAGAGACCAGAGAGAGACCAGAGAGAGACCAGAGAGAGACCAGAGGAGAGACCAGAGAGAGACCAGAGAGAGACCAGAGAGAGAGACCAGAGAGAGAGACCAGAGAGAGACCAGAGAGAGACCAGAGAGAGACCAGAGAGAGACCAGAGAGAGACCAGAGAGAGACCAGAGAGAGACCAGAGAGAGACCAGAGAGAGACCAGAGAGAGAGACCAGAGAGGAGACCAGAGAGAGACCAGAGAGAGACCAGAGAGAGACCAGAGAGAGACCAGAGAGAGACCAGAGAGAGACCAGAGAGAGAGACCAGAGAGAGACCAGAGAGAGACCAGAGAGAGACCAGAGAGAGACCAGAGAGAGACCAGAGAGAGACCAGAGAGAGACCAGAGAGAGACCAGAGAGAGACCAGAGAGAGACCAGAGAGAGACCAGAGAGAGACCAGAGAGAGACCAGAGAGAGACCAGAGAGAGACCAGAGAGAGACCAGAGAGAGACCAGAGAGAGACCAGAGAGAGAGACCAGAGAGAGAGACCAGAGAGAGACCAGAGAGAGACCAGAGAGAGACCAGAGAGAGACCAGAGAGAGACCAGAGAGAGACCAGAGAGAGACCAGAGAGAGAGACCAGAGAGAGACCAGAGAGAGACCAGAGAGAGACCAGAGAGAGACCAGAGAGAGAGACCGAGAGAGAGACCAGAGAGAGACCAGAGAGAGACCAGAGAGAGACCAGAGAGAGACCAGAGAGAGACCAGAGAGAGACCAGAGAGAGACCAGAGAGAGACCAGAGAGAGACCAGAGAGAGACCAGAGAGAGACCAGAGAGAGACCAGAGAGAGAGACCAGAGAGAGACCAGAGAGAGAGACCAGAGAGAGACCAGAGAGAGAGACCAGAGAGAGAGACCAGAGAGAGACAGAGAGAGAGACCAGAGAGAGGACCAGAGAGAGACCAGAGAGAGACCAGAGAGAGAGACCAGAGAGAGACCAGAGAGAGACCAGAGAGAGAGACCAGAGAGAGACCAGAGAGAGAGACCAGAGAGAGACCAGAGAGAGACCAGAGAGAGACCAGAGAGAGACCAGAGAGAGACCAGAGAGAGAGACCAGAGAGGAGACCAGAGAGAGAGACCAGAGAGAGAGACCAGAGAGAGACCAGAGAGAGAGACCAGAGAGAGACCAGAGAGAGACCAGAGAGAGACCAGAGAGAGAGACCAGAGAGAGACCAGAGAGAGACCAGAGAGAGACCAGAGAGAGACCAGAGAGAGACCAGAGAGAGACCAGAGAGAGACCAGAGAGAGACCAGAGAGAGACCAGAGAGAGACAGAGAGAGACAGAGAGGAGACCAGAGAGAGACCAGAGAGAGACCAGGAGAGAGACCAGAGAGAGACCAGAGAGAGACCAGAGAGAGAGACCAGAGAGAGACCAGAGAGAGACCAGAGAGAGACCAGAGAGAGACCAGAGAGAGACCAGAGAGAGACCAGAGAGAGACCAGAGAGAGACCAGAGACCAGAGAGACCAGAGAGAGAGACCAGAGAGAGACCAGAGAGAGACCAGAGAGACCAGAGAGACCAGAGAGACCAGAGAGAGACCGGAGAGACCAGAGAGAGAGACCAGAGAGAGACCGAAGAGAGACCAGAGAGAGAGACCAGAGAGAGACCAGAGAGAGACCAGAGAGACCAGAGAGAGACCAGAGAGAGACCAGAGAGAGACCAGAGAGAGACCAGAGAGAGAGACCAGAGAGACCAGAGAGAGACCAGAGAGAGAGACCAGAGAGAGAGACCAGAGAGACCAGAGAGACCAGAGAGAGACCGGAGAGACCAGAGAGAGAGACCAGAGAGAGACCGAAGAGAGACCAGAGAGAGAGACCAGAGAGAGACCAGAGAGAGACCAGAGAGACCAGAGAGAGACCAGAGAGAGACCGGAGAGACCAGAGAGAGACCAGAGAGACCAGAGAGAGAGACCAGAGAGAGAGACCAGAGAGAGAGACCAGAGAGACCAGAGAGAGACCGGAGAGACCAGAGAGAGACCAGAGAGAGAGACCAGAGAGACCAGAGAGAGACCAGAGAGAGACCAGAGAGACCAGAGAGAGACCAGAGAGAGAGACCAGAGAGACCAGAGAGAGACCAGAGAGAGAGACCAGAGAGAGACCGGAGAGACCAGAGAGAGACCATAGAGAGAGACCAGAGAGACCAGAGAGAGACCAGAGAGAGACCAGAGAGACCAGAGAGAGACCAGAGAGAGAGACCAGAGAGACCAGAGAGAGACCAGAGAGAGAGAGACCAGAGAGAGAGACCAGAGAGACCAGAGAGAGACCAGAGAGAGACCAGAGAGAGACCAGAGAGAGAGACCAGAGAGAGACCAGAGAGAGACCAGAGAGAGACCAGAGAGAGACCAGAGAGACCAGAGAGAGAGACCAGAGAGAGACCGAAGAGAGACCAGAGAGAGAGACCAGAGAGAGACCAGAGAGAGACCAGAGAGACCAGAGAGACCAGAGAGAGACCGGAGAGACCAGAGAGAGAGACCAGAGAGAGACCGAAGAGAGACCAGAGAGAGAGACCAGAGAGAGACCAGAGAGAGACCAGAGAGACCAGAGAGACCAGAGAGAGACCGGAGAGACCAGAGAGAGAGACCAGAGAGAGACCGAAGAGAGACCAGAGAGAGAGACCAGAGAGAGACCAGAGAGAGACCAGAGAGACCAGAGAGAGACCAGAGAGAGACCGGAGAGACCAGAGAGAGACCAGAGAGACCAGAGAGAGAGACCAGAGAGACCAGAGAGAGAGACCAGAGAGAGAGACCAGAGAGACCAGAGAGAGAGACCAGAGAGAGACCAGAGAGACCAGAGAGAGACCAGAGAGAGAGACCAGAGAGACCAGAGAGAGACCAGAGAGAGAGACCAGAGAGAGACCGGAGAGACCAGAGAGAGACCATAGAGAGAGACCAGAGAGACCAAAGAGAGACCAGAGAGAGACCAGAGAGACCAGAGAGAGACCAGAGAGAGAGACCAGAGAGACCAGAGAGAGACCAGAGAGAGAGACCAGAGAGAGAGACCAGAGAGACCAGAGAGAGACCAGAGAGAGACCAGAGAGAGACCAGAGAGAGAGACCAGAGAGAGACCAGAGAGAGACCAGAGAGAGAGACCAGAGAGAGACCAGAGAGAGACCAGAGAGAGACCAGAGAGAGAGACCAGAGAGAGACCGAGAGAGAGACCGAGAGAGAGACCAGAGAGAGACCAGAGAGAGACCAGAGAGAGACCAGAGAGAGACCAGAGAGAGACCAGAGAGACCAGAGAGAGACCGAAGAGAGACCAGAGAGAGACCAGAGAGAGACCAGAGAGACCAGAGAGAGACCAGAGAGAGACCAGAGAGAGACCAGAGAGAGACCAGAGAGACCAGAGAGAGACCAGAGAGAGAGACCAGAGAAGAGACCGAAGAGAGACCAGAGAGAGAGACCAGAGAGAGACCAGAGAGAGACCAGAGAGACCAGAGAGAGACCAGCGAGAGACCAGAGAGAGACCGGAGAGACCAGAGAGAGACCAGAGAGAGAGACCAGAGAGACCAGAGAGAGACCAGAGAGACCAGAGAGAGACCAGCGAGAGACCAGAGAGAGACCGGAGAGACCAGAGAGAGACCAGAGAGAGAGACCAGAGAGACCAGAGAGAGACCAGAGAGACCAGAGAGAGACCAGAGAGAGACCGGAGAGACCAGAGAGAGACCAGAGAGAGACCAGAGAGAGACCAGAGAGAGACCGGAGAGAGACCGGAGAGATCAGAGAGAGACAAGAGTGAAACTACAGCTGTGGTCCAAGGAATAGAATGAACTCTGACCTTTTACCGTCATCGTCTCCATGGAAACGGGGCCTCAGCTTGTTGCTGTAGCCTGTGAGAGTTTTCTTGTGAATTAATTTGTGTTTCTGTGCCGCAGCCGTCCTGGTGACTGTGTCGGAGGTGGCCGACGAAGCCAACGATAATCTGAAACAGGGGGTGAGTGTTTCAGTGATGAAGAGTGTTTCAGTGATGAAGAGTGTTTCAGTGATGAAGAGTGTTTCAGTGATGAAGAGTGTTTCAGACTTGGACTGGGACTTGGACTGGGACTCGGGCTCGGCCTCAGACTCAGACTCAGACTCAGACTCAGAGGATGTCATGGTTCCAGGTGTTCATCACAAAGGGAGCAGTGTGGGCCTCAGACTCCCCTCAGCCTGTGGAGATACTGCTCACACACACACACACACCCTTCTTCTGTCCCCCCCTCCCCCTCTCTCGCCCCCAACCCCCCTTCCTCCCCCCTCCCTCCCTCCCCCTCCCCCTCTGTTCTCCTCAGGCTGTGCAGACAGCACTGCAGAGATAGTGAGAACACAGCCTCTCTCTCTGTTGTCCATAAACACCTCCCTGTCACCTCCTTTTCCGGGGCCTCTTTTTCATGCTCTGACGGGGCCCTGGACGGGGCCCGGGACGGGGCCCGGGACAGGACCCTGCAGCTGTCTGCGTGTGACCCCAGTCTCTGCCGTGTCTCCCCAGGAAAACCTCCTGCGTCTGGTCCACATCGAGTTCAGTATAAAAGGCAAAAGGGATCTTCTGAAACCAGGACGGGTAAGAAACAGCTCCAAACAGACTTTGAGAAAAAACATTTATTATTATTCATTTGGTCGATTTGGCCCCGATCCCACTCTACCTGCCTCTACATTACGCTTTAGCCTCTGGTACCGTATCTGGTACAGTATCTGGTACCGTATCCGGTGCCGTATCTGGTACCGTATCTGGTACCATATCCGGTGCCGTATCTGGTACCGTATCCTAGCAACAGTACACAGCCACAGTAAAAGTGCTCTTTATTGACACAGCCTTTCACAGACAGAGTTGGGGCCATGCAGGAGTAATCTTTATTTATATACCGCCTTTTCACTGCACATAGGAGTCTCAAAGCGGTTTACAATTGTTATTTTTGGGCATTTGTCTCTCACTCCACACAGAGATGGGAGCGGGGCCAGTACAGGAGGCACATGCCAGACCTATTGTACATATTTTTAGTGGTAGGGGAAACCGGAGTACCCGGAGGAAACCTACGCAGACACGGGGAGAACATGCAAACTCCACTCAGAAAGGCCCTGGTCCAACCGGGATTCGAACCCAGGACCTTCTTGCTGAGAGGCAAGAGTGCTATCCACTCAGCCACCGTGCCGCCCAGGAGGCGTATGTCAGATCTATATGTTGCTAGTGGAAGGGAGCACCCAGAGGACACGAGGAGAACATGCAAACTCCACACAGACAGATGGAATAGAACCCAGAATCTTCTGGCTGCACTAACCACTGTGCCGTCGCACTTGTTTTGGACCGGTCTTTTTCTGGTGTACCCAGTTCTCTGTCCATGAGGAATGTCCTTTGTCTTCGCAGATGTTTGTCAAAGAAGGAACGTTGATGAAAGTTTCCAGAAAAAGCCGACAGCCGCGGCACCTGTTTCTCGTAAGTTTGTTTTTATCACTTATGTGTCAAATCTGAGCAGAACCCACTGAAACACCTGAGCTCAGTCTAATTAACACGTTCTGATTGGTGCGAGCTTCACGTGTTTGAACGTGTGTCTGTGGACGCCGTTTCCTGGCAACCTCCGGGTGGTTCTTTACACAATAATTCATGAATATTTAATTAACTTGTTTCACCAGTCGTTTGGGAAAGTCGATAATGTCATCACAGCCAAAGATGCAGTTTAATATTAAAGTTATATTACAGTTTCATGAAGCGGTACTTTTGACGTATACTTCGCTTGAGACATTTCTCACTCTCCTCGTTGTATTTCTTCTTCTACTCTAACATTTATAACTACTCTTCTCACCTCTGCATGGTTAGTGTTACGACCTAAGGATTAGAGGAGGGAGAGGAGAGAGAGGAGGGAGAGGAGAGAGAGGAGGGAGAGGAGGGAGAGGAGGGAGAGGAGGGAGAGGAGAGAGAGGAGGGAGAGGAGGGAGACGAGAGAGAGGAGAGAGAGGAGAGAGAGGAGAGAGAGGAGGGAGAGGAGGGAGAGGAGGGAGAGGAGGGAGAGGAGGGAGAGGAGGGAGAGGAGAGAGAGGAGAGAGAGGAGGGAGAGGAGGGAGAGGAGAGAGAGGAGGGAGAGGAGGGAGAGGAGGGAGAGGAGGGAGAGGAGGGAGAGGAGGGAGAGGAGGGAGAGGAGAGAGAGGAGAGAGAGGAGAGAGAGGAGGGAGAGGAGGGAGAGGAGAGAGAGGAGGGAGAGGAGGGAGAGGAGGGAGAGGAGAGAGAGGAGGGAGAGGAGGGAGAGGAGAGAGAGGAGAGAGAGGAGGGAGAGGAGGGAGAGGAGAGAGAGGAGGGAGAGGAGGGATAGGAGGGAGAGGAGGGAGAGGAGGGAGAGGAGGGAGAGGAGGGAGAGGAGGGAGAGGAGGGAGAGGAGGGAGAGGAGGGAGAGGAGAGAGAGGAGGGAGAGGAGGGAGAGGAGGGAGAGGAGGGAGAGGAGGGAGAGGTGAGGGAGGAGGGAGAGGAGGGAGAGGAGGGAGAGGAGGGAGAGGAGAGAGAGGAGCGAGACGAGAGAGAGGAGGGAGAGGAGAGAGAGGAGAGAGAGGAGAGAGAGGAGAGAGAGGAGGGAGAGGAGGGAGAGGAGAGAGAGGAGAGAGAGGAGAGAGAGGAGGGAGAGGAGGGAGAGGAGAGAGAGGAGGGAGAGGAGAGAGAGGAGGGAGAGGAGAGAGAGAGAGGAGAGAGAGGAGAGAGAGGAGAGAGAGGAGGGAGAGGAGGGAGAGGAGGGAGAGGAGGGAGAGGAGAGAGAGGAGGGAGAGGAGAGAGAGGAGGGAGAGGAGGGAGAGGAGGGAGAGGAGAGAGAGGAGGGAGAGGAGGGAGAGGAGGGAGAGGAGAGAGAGGAGGGAGAGGAGGGAGAGGAGGGAGAGGAGGGAGAGGAGAGAGAGGAGGGAGAGGAGAGAGAGGAGGGAGAGGAGGGAGAGGAGAGAGAGGAGAGAGAGAGAGAGAGGAGAGAGAGGAGGGAGAGGAGGGAGAGGAGGGAGAGGAGGGAGAGGAGAGAGAGGAGGGAGAGGAGAGAGAGGAGGGAGAGGAGAGAGAGGAGGGAGAGGAGGGAGAGGAGAGAGAGGAGAGAGAGGAGGGAGTGAGGAGGGAGAGGAGGAGAGGAGAGAGAGGAGGGAGAGGAGGGAGAGGAGAGAGAGGAGAGAGAGGAGAGAGAGGAGAGGAGAGGAGGGAGAGGAGGAGAGGAGAGAGAGGAGGGAGAGGAGAGGAGGAGAGAGAGGAGAGAGGAGGGAGAGGAGGGAGAGGAGAGAGGAGAGGAGGGAGAGGAGGGAGAGAGGGAGAGAGAGGAGAGAGGGAGAGGAGAGAGAGAGAGAGGAGGGAGAGGGAGGGGAGGAGGGAGAGGAGGGAGAGGAGGGAGAGGAGAGAGGAGGGAGAGGAGGGAGAGGAGGAGAGGAGGGAGAGGAGGGAGAGGAGGGAGAGGAGGAGAGGAGGGAGAGGAGGGAGAGGAGGGAGGAGAGAGAGGGAGAGGGAGGGAGAGGAGGAGAGAGGAGGGAGAGGAGGGAGAGGAGGGAGAGGAGGGAGGTGGAGAGGTGTGAGAGGTGGTGTGGTGTGAGGGAGTGGTGGAGTGGGTGGGAGTGAGTGGAGTGGAGAGGTGGTGGTGGGTGGGAGGTGGGTGAGTGTGGGGGGTTGTGGGTGGTGGGTGTGGGGTGGTGTGGTGGGTGGGGTGTGTGTGGGGGTGGTGGGTGTGGTGGGTGGTGGTGTGTTGGTGGTGTGGTGTGGTGTGGTGGGGTGTGGTGTGTGGGGTGGTGTGGTGGGGTGTGGGGGGTGTGGGTTGGGTGGTGGGGTGGTGGGTGGGGTGGGTGTGGTGGTGGGGGGGTGTGGTGGGTGTGGTGGGGGTGTGGTGTGTGGTGGGTGTGGGTGGGGGGGTGTGGTGGTGGGGTGGGTGTGTGGGTGGTGTGGTGGGGTGGTGGGGTGGGGTGTGGTGGGTGTGGTGGGTGTGGTGTGGGGGTGTGGTGGTGGGGGTGGTGGGTGTGGTGGGAGAGGAGGAGAGGAGAGGAGGAGGAGAGAGTGGAGAGGAGAGAGGAGGTGAGAGTGTGGAGAGAGAGGAGAGAGAGGAGGGAGGAGGAGGAGGTGGGAGAGGAGAGGAGTGGGATGAGGGGAGGTGGAGAGGAGGAGAGAGGGTGTGAGTGAGGGGAGAGAGGAGTGAGAGGGGTGTGAGAGGAGTGAGAGAGGAGAGGAGAGGAGAGAGAGAGTGAGAGGAGGGAGAGGAGTGGGAGGAGGGAGAGGAGAGAGAGGAGAGAGAGGAGGGTGAGGAGGGAGAGGAGGGAGAGGAGGGAGAGGAGGGAGAGGAGGGAGAGAGAGGAGACGGGGAGACGAGGAGAGGAGAGGAGGTTGAGAGGAGGGAGAGGAGGGAGACGAGGGAGAGGAGGGAGAGGAGGGAG